AGAGAGAGAGAGAGAGAGAGAGAGAGGGAAATGCATGGGACTATGGTGGTGGCACACGGGTGATTTGGTGATGGGAAACCCGTGGGGATTACAATCGAGATGGAAAAAAAAATGTGCAAAATGATATAAAAATAAACTTTTGTAATAATTTAAAAAAAAACCCTCAGAGGGAAAAATACCAGATGCTTTCTCTCATAGCAGGAATATAATGGAACAGGCGGGAGAATAATGATAATGATGAACAGCTATATACCAGAGACATTTTGTGAGGGTGGAGTGGGGAATGGGATCATAAACAGCGGGACATTCAAAAATGCACTGGACTATAGTGATGGAACATGGGTGATCTAGGGATGGGAAGCCCAAGGGGATTGCAACTGAGATGGAAAAAGGCACAAAATGATGTGAAAATAAACTAATATATATATATATTTATTTTATATATATATATATATATATATATATACTTTAAACCCTCAGAGAAACACAAAAAAGGGCACACTCTGGTGGTGAAGCCACTGCTGCTTCAGTGTGAGTTCGATTCCCAGCCCCGGAGATGATCCACATGACACGGCAGACCTCTCCTGACCTGCCCACTCCTCCCCTCAGCAGTGTACTTCGTCAATCTGCCTGTTCTGCTCCTCACTCTGTCTCTGGTGAATCCTCTCACCCCCACATCTCTGGCCTGCATCCCAGTTCTTCCACACAAAAATTACTATTTGTATAAGAGGAAGAGTGAGGAACAACCTACTAGCCAGAGGGTGATGCCCACAGCCAACTTGATGGTGGAAGCTGGGGCTTTCCAGGCTCCCACCTGTGACTTCCTGAAAGGGGAATGTAAGAGACTCGGGGAAGCCAGAGCTTCCATGTAATTTAAACGACGGAGCACGGGTGAGCCACGCGCTCTCTTCTCGGCTCCTTCCATTCCAACCTGGTTTCTGCTCAGCTGTCACCACTTTCAGTTGTAAAGACACCATCCGGCCAGGTGCCGGCCAATAAACTTTCTTTCCTGTCTCTCCCTTTTCTTGCTTATATATAAACAAATTCTTTAAAATTTTTACTTCTCAGCCCTTCCTGGTGGCTCAGCAGGTTAGAGCACAGCACTAAGAAGCTAAAGCCCTTCAGCATGAGTTCGATCCCCACCCCCTGAGGTGACCCAAATGGCATAGCAGACCTTTCCTGACCCACCCGCTGCTCCCCTCAGCAGTGTATTTCACTCCATCTGCCTATTCTGCTCCACACTCTGTCTCTGGTGAATCCTCTCACCATCCCTGCACCTCTGGCCTGTACCCCAGTTCTGTTTTCATAAATACATAATTTTTTTAATTTTATTTCTCTTTGTGTCTGCTTTAGGTTTTGTTCTGTATTCTTAAGCACACATGTAAAGATTCACAAAACAAGGTCATTCCAATCCTGCTCCCCCTGCTCCCCCTGCTCCCCCTGCCCCCCATGCCCCCCACCAGGTTTGCCCCATAACAAAATTACTTTAGTGTGGGGACCAGTCCTGTGTATCCCCTACGGTGTGATCCATCCAGTTTTTGCTGCCCCAAGATTAATCACTCCCCAGCAGTGCTGACCCAGGAGTACCCAGGCCCTTCAGTGGGACCTCCTTCTCTATTTGCAGAAATAGGAGAGTTTGGGGACATGCTCCCCTCAGCACAGGGTATAATGGTATGTGGTTTGACAGACAGAAGATGGCATAAGGCCCATCTTCAAAAGACTGGCGGAGGAAACACCACGCTGTGAGGATAGCAAACAATGTGTGTGTGTATGTGTGTGTGATGTTCATGTGTCACACCTGCCAGATGGCCAGGAGAGGAGAATGATGCACACCCCTGAGCTGGTGTGCAGACCCCCACACACTCCCCCATTTCACACTGCCTGCCTCCCCCAGGCTACTGCAGTGGGAATCACCCAGTTTGTACAACTGAATCTTCACCCTTGCTCCAGCAGACAGCTCAGTTTCTGGGCTAACAGAAAAAGCCAGGGTGCAGTCGGACAGAAAATAAAGCTGACAGGTAGAGAGAAGCAAGAATGAGGGGTGGAGACTGTGAGCACCCCCAGAAAGCCCAGCCTTCCCATCACTGACATGGGATGGAAAAGCTAATGCTCAGCTCACACCCCACCCAGAACACAAGGAACTTGCAGGTGCAACAGCCCCGCCCCAAAGCCTGACAACCTCATTTCACCCCAACCCCAGGGAGAAAGCTGCTTTGGAACTCACATTCCTCATTTCTCCACTATCAGACCTGACAAGTAATTCATTCAAGGGTCATGGATTTAATATGGATTTAATGCTCTTGTTGGAATGGTGGGAGCCCTGGGTTGCCAGGGTTAGAGTTTTATAGAGATGGCAAGCAGTTCTTAGGTCGGTGGTAACTATAGACTT